ATCATCCTTGGTAGGAATCGGTGTTCTTTTGCGAGAATTTGTGGTTTATCAAATCTAATGTAATGGTGGGGACGATCTTGAACATGTTCGCAGACTGCAGACTTCTCGGAGCGTCGGTGCTTCACATCAGCTATATGTTCCTTCACGCGGGTTTTTATAGATCTCTTTGTTTGACTTATGTAAGAGAGACCACATTCACAATCTAGCTTGTACACACCTGCATCTTGTAGAGGAATATTACATTTGATGGATGGTAAAAATTGACTAATCTTCTTCAGCGGCTTGTAGTATGTCTTAATGGACGCTCGCTTCAAGATGTAGCCAATCTTGTCCGTGACTCATCTGACATATGGTAGTAGAGCAGGCGCGCGCTCGACTGTGGCCGGCTTCACTCGTTCACTGTGACGTAGGCGCGGGACCCGAAGCTTGTTGTCTTGCAATACTTGCTTGACGTGCTGAAGCTCCGCGGCCAGATGTTTTCTGTCACAGATCCCTCGTGCTCTCTGAAACAAAGATTTACCCACGGTAGCTAACTGTGAAGGATGATGGTGAGATTCACCATTTAGATATCGGTTGGTATGGGTCTTTTTCTTATACACAGTGTGACCAATAGTGTTATCAGGATGTCGGATGACTAAAGCATCTAGGAAGGCTAAAGAATTATTTGTCTCTAACTCCATTGTGAATTGTATTTTAGAGTTTATGGAGTTAAGGTGGTCTAAAAATGCAGTTACTTTATCAGATGGTAAAATTGTGAAAGTGTCGTCTACGTACCGCTTGTAGAACCTTGGATTTACAGGAGCAGTAAGAAGGGCTTTCTCCTCAAAGTCCTCCATGAATATGTCGGCGACTATGGGAGACACAGGTGAGCCCATCGCCACACCATCTACTTGCTTGTAGAACTCCTCCTTCCACAATAGATAGCCAGATGTGAGGCAATGTTCAAGTAGTATTGCATATTCTTGAGGCATGTTATTTTCTTCTAGCTTCCTAGATACAATTGAGATGCAGTCCACAATAGGTAGGCATGTAAATAGTAACTGAACATCAAAACTGACCATAGTTTCATTGTTAGCGAGATGTAGGTCTTTTATCTCACTCACAAATTGGTACGAATCCTTTGTGTGTGCTCTGGTATGTCCTCTCAGTGGTGATAGTATTTTTGCTAAGTATTGTGCCAGCTTATAAGTTGGTAAATCGATCTGGCTCACTATGGGACGTAGTGGAGCGTTTGGTTTGTGTATCTTCGGTAACCCATACAACCTTGGTGGTTTGGCACATGATGGTATTAGCGAATTCGCTAAGCATTTGCATAAGCATTTATATATTTGAATAATATATATATATATATATATATATATATATGTATATATATATATATGTATATGTTAGATACAAAAATCTTTGGATACAACTATTATAGTAACCTTGCGCTCGCCCCACCTCGAGCAGTTACGCACACAGAGAACATTGTAGTGTGCTTCTATATTACGCAGTTCCAGTTCCAGAGCGATTTTAACGTCGTCGGTATCGACAAGCGGTGGTTATTATATCTTTATTACCTATTTGTTTATGTTTCGTAATTTGATCACAGTTTCGATACTCGACAGTTAGTGTTAGTATAATGAAATTGTGAATAAGATATTTAATTGTTAACACCTCAGATGAAGTAAAAAAAGGTAGATATAGCACCTAGAACAAGAAACTGTAACCAATTTTGTAACTTTCTGTGAGTCAGAGAAGTGTTGCCACTTTTTTTAAAAGTCCCTGAAAATCGGTAGATACAATACTACAACTATAAGAGTAATTTGCGATGCGAATGTATATCTGTCCATTTTAAAAAATTTCAACAATTTAACAATTCAAAATAAGATGAAGTACGTGCGGAGGTGTCTAGATCATTTAAAAATCTTCTTGATAGATTATCCAGTAAGCATCGATAAAATATACAACATATGTAATGTAAAACATGTTTATTATAAAAAATAACTTAATACAAAAAATAGATTTTTTGGCATGAAGGCCTCGGCAAAGCTTCGTCTAATGCAAGCGATCAAATGGTCTGTATAAAAAATTTAGAAGAAATTGATTTAATTATTGAATAGAGATGGTAGACCTTAGATTTATCAAACGCTATTTACACAAAAGTTGAACACTAGAGGAAAATGCTTTTATCTATTCTCAAATTGCCTGTCGTCGGGATGTAACAACGGACGAAAATATGCACAAGCTCTTGCTTCAACACTGGCGTTATAATAGCGTATAGTCATCTATAGTTATTACTTATTTATGCCTTAGCGGCTGTAAACATCCTCCAAGCGAAAAAAAAAACGTCCTGCCATAATTCTACATCGTTCACATAAAACGAAATAAAATTCACTGTTCAATAATTATTCTCACTCTTCTATCTCTGTAAAAATCTATGTGAAAATGTTTTCGATAGCGACGACGTAAAGTTTACATAAGTTACGTCTCGAACGATCAAAATTGTCGCTCGCACTCGCAAAATACTTCAAACAACCATTCACGAGCGTTATCGTTCTCACTGTCGAATGTGAGTCAATGCTCGATGGTCGATATCGACCACGTAGTAAGCTCGCACTCAGGAATTTTGTTTCAAATTATTGTCACTAGTTGGCGCTTTTTTTATTCCATACAAATCGTAGTTAACCGTATCGCTATTGAACGCGTAAAAAAACTCGCACTAGGCACACAGTTTTGTTACGGACGCAGAGACGTAAAAATGATGTTTTGAAGCATATCCAACTGCGGAAATTCTTCCACATCTCCATTTCCTTAATTATTTTGCGACTTTATTTATGGTCAAAACAATAAGTGCAAATTAAAAAATGGCAGCTTTTTTGACCGCAAAGTACATAAGATATCGTTGCTGAAAAAAAAGACTATTTCGTGTCAAACGATTTTATTTCTTTGGTTTTTATTCTAAGAAATTATAACGTCGCGAAGCATTGTCGCTTATTGCAAAATACCTAACTAAAATTTTTCTTAAAATACAGTAGTCCCTCCTGTCACCAATTGAGGAGAAAAAATATACAGATAAAATATCACATAAGGTACAATTTATAAATACATAAAAACGAACAAAAACTTTACAGATAAATAAAAATGATCACCTATTTTTAAAATATAAAGCGTATTTTAAACGCAAACTTAAAATTTGCTTTAATACTAAAATAAAACCCAAGGTGTTAGTAATATATCAAGTCAATATTATTTTGTCTGAATATACAATTAAAATATTAAATACAACACATGATTGCAAACAATTTTAATTATAATTTTTAAACCTGGCAATTTTCAATTTTTTCTGATGCTCGGTCTTGTGATAACTTAAATTGTTATTGATTTTTCCTGACAACAATGACGGCTGCCTTTTATTTACATTATGGGTAATTTTACATACACAACAAACACCTCTTTTTGCACTATATTTTACAAAGTCCTTAACATTTGAACATATTGTTCAAATGTTAAGGACTGTTTCAAATGTTAAGGCATGTTTGTAATAAAAAATTCAAGTATAGTTATTGACCAAGTAATTAATTGTGCGTTATTCATAATGTTCAAACAGATTCAAAAATGCCCAATATGAGCAATATGATAAAACTTGAAATAATTAAATATACCGGACTTTATAAATAAACTTAATGGGCAGTGATGAAACATAGGTTAGTTTAGGTGTAAGTACCAGACAATGAGATAAATAATGAAGTTTAAATCAGTATTAATTATGTAGCCCGAATTGACTTGTCATTCATATTGCCCGGGAATTATAAATAGAGCCCAGATTAATCACTTAGTCCATAACCTTTAACTTCGTCCATTCTTTTAAGTTTGTAACTTATTCTTTTACATAATATAAATTGATTGCGAAAGGATAATTCATACATCGATCCAATCAATTTGTCTAACTTATAGCACCTGAAAATAACTAGTTAAGGTGGAAGTTTATTCGAATTAATAATAGCTGAATTAATTCAGAAATAAATAGCTCCTGCTTATTATAATTGTGTAGGATGTAAACATGTATCAGTGGTAAAAATAATAATTTATTATTTATAATATGGTATATTCAATTTGTATTTGCAAATTGTTACCAGTGTTTAAAACTCTCATAACCCTCCAATAAACAGACAAGAGTTCGTACCTTTTCTTATAAGAAAGTTAGTGATTGGATTAAAGATTGATCCTAGGTACGAATACGAAGTAAGACACTTGTAGCCTTTCACACATAATCTGAGGGTTATAAACTCAACCACAGCGCGGTGAAGCCCTAAATCAGTATCCAAGGTGCATTATTTCTATGATTCATCGCTTCACGAATCATATATTGCAAGGACTATAATCAAATTCAGTTTCCAGCTTTAGGTAATTTAAAGTTTCGATAGACATCCTTATAGCTTTGTTGTGATTTTTTATTAGCTGGCAATGTACAATATATATTATGTCTAATTTAGCTAATTTTTAATATCAAATTTAAAGTTAAAAGCAATATTTTGTCGTTCACTCACAATTAGTTTTAAACCAAAAAGCTAGTAAATAAAAAAAACATTTTAAGAATAAATGTGTACAATATTATTTAAATTTTGCAAATAATAAGTTAATATTAAGTTTTACTGCTGTGTTGAGCAGCTAGATATTTTATACATTTTAATATTTATAAATTCTGACTAAGAATTCGGTATTATTTTGTATTAAAATATAATATATACATCCTATCAAGTACATCTCTTTAGCCTTTTTATAATGTCAAGATTTTGTTCAAAAAGGCGACTGTAGTTTGAAATACGGTAAATAAAATTTCGAGACAGTGTATTTCTAAAGTAACTGTAACAATTTAACACACTTCAAGTTATCAAGTCTTATTGTCTATGGAGTCACAATCGACATGGGACAGTTCCGTACAAACACAAGAGCGTTGTTAGCGTGCAAGTCCGTTAGTTTTGCACGTACAAGAGACATTTTAGCCCGAAACGTGTTCATAAGACCACGTGTGGAGGTTCTGTGTTGGTGGGGGACGCTGGAAGGGCCGCTACACCTAAAAAGGGTAATATTGTATTACTTCCGATAAATAAAATACATAATTTTTATACGTGGTAAAGCCATGTTGCAGCTATACTACGGTTGTAGCACAAACGGGTCGGCACAAACGGGGACGGACCACGCTCTCCAAAATAGCAGCTAAATACTGCTGTTTCATATGGTGAGTGAAGAAAACCGGAGACCCCTGTTACTGGATACGAGTAATTTTATTACACGTATCCAGTAACTTAGTCATCTGGGGTGGCAACTCAACTGCATTTTGATTATTTTACGAGGATAGATATAGATTTCATAATGATTTCTTAAATTTACGCGAACACTACACATTGAATAAAACTAAATTTACGGATTTTTATCGCGTTTATTTCACTACTTTTACTTATTTTTAATTCCCGACGTTTCGGGTGCTTTACAGCACCCATGGTCACGGGGGGACTGAGATGTTTGACGTCCCAATGTCATAGTTAGTCCGGCTAGCTTCAATTTTTTGAATATTAACGTTTTGCGTAAATCGGACCAAAAATTTTGCGTAGGTTAATATTCAAAAAATTGAAGCTAGCCGGACTAACTATGACATTGGGACGTCAAACATCTCAGTCCCCCCCGTGACCATGGGTGCTGTAAAGCACCCGAAACGTCGGGAATTAAAAATAAGTAAAAGTAGTGAAATAAACGCGATAAAATCCGTAAATTTAGTTTTATTCAAGATATAGATTTCTATGGGTCACAGGATTCACTTACCATCAGGGGGGCTAGGTACTCGCATGTCACCCTTATTTTAAAAAACAGTGCGTGTTACCTGCGATGATCTACGCGACTGATACGTATTCTTTAACTTCCACATTTTACATCTATCCTCGATTAGAAATCAAAATACAGATCCGTTGTCACCCGTGAGGACTAAGATACAATGCCTCATTTCCAGTAAAAAGGGGTCGCCGGTTCTCTACACTCACCATACGAAACACAGCAGCAATAAGCTGCTATTTTGCGCTGGTATTCTGTGAGAACTTGGTCCTAGCCTCGGTGGAGCCGAGCTCTTCTTGCTAGAGTGATAATACAGATGCAGCGTGGCTCTTCCACGTAAGCTGATGACGATAAACAACTGCAGCTTGTTACCGATCTCGCCGCGCGCGTCGCTGTTGATAGAGGCGTCATTGGGACGCGGTGCGTGCGGGGGCTGCGGGGCGCGCGGACGGCGCGCCCGCCGCGACCGTCGTGAGCGCTGCGCCGCCAGCAGCGGCTGCGTGTCCACCTCCCCAACACTGATAATAACATCTCTTGTTAATTCATTGTGCCCTTCACTACAATAGCCTTCTGCCAAAAATGATACAATGATTTGTTAAACATCTTTAAGGCTAATCTTTAATAATAATTTTAAAATTAATAATAATAAATTACTATATTAATATCAATAAAAAACGACAATAATAATATTTAAAAAATATTAATAATAATGATAATCATAATTAGTCGCAAGTTTGTTATCGCACGGCGCGGTCACTCGCTACTTTGGTGGGGAGCGGTTGTGTCAGCGTGTATAAGTAGCAGCCGTTTCGGCTCGCCGCTCACTTAGCGGTCAGCCGCCGTAGAGTCTACTTCACCTGACGATGCCTCGCGTAAAAGCGAAACATGTGTCGTATTATCGTCGATGGTGTGTTTTACTTGGAATAGTGGTGTTGGGATGGGTGGAGTACTGGTGCTCGGACTAGTGGTGACGGAGTTAGTGCATGCATTGAGGGAGGGCGGGAGGTGCTCTTCAATCCAGGTAAGACACATCATTGTATTCAGTTAGCGGAAGGTTGCAAGGTAATTAATATTTTTATTACAAAAATGATACGTCAAATGCTGTAAAAATTGTTTTAAATAACGAAAGTAAATGGGTTGAAGTTAATAATAGTTTGAAACCTTAAAATGGAGCGATTTGTTGAATTAAATATCTGCGCAGGTGATGTGAACCTCAAGTTACAGCATGCGCTTAGGCACCTTAAGATACTATCGTCATCTACTGTCCGCAGCCTCAAGCTGCTGTCAAAATCTTCCAAAAACGTCGAAATGTGGCAAAATATTGTAAAGTTTTTAAAAAAATCATTATAAATGATAATTTCAAAATACTTGACACTGGCGAAAACACAACCGTACGAGTCTATTACCAAAGAAAACTAACTATTTCACTATGATACTAACTTGAATAAATAAATATAATTTTTACTCACTTCTCGTCATTGTTAGTCTGTTCAGTTTCTTCCGAGGGCTGGGCACCCTAAAACATAGTTTTTTTTTTTTAAATTCAATATACGTAAAGGAGGTATAATTGAGATTCAATAATTTTTAAATAACAGGAAACATTGTATGAAAGTAGGTTATTATAAATGTCGGTGAGAAGTATAAGAAAGGACGATGGAGTGAATAGACGGGGAAAGGAAGACGATCGGTTCGATTTCAGAGATGATAGATTAAGATTGTGTAACAGAATATATTTTATACGATTTTTTTTATAGAAAGTGATTACAAGAAACAAAAAGGAAGATTTTTATTTATTTTTGACAACATCTCCTATACAAAGTTATTTTGTAATATACGGCAAAATTTACTAAGAAGGTTCTGAATAATTAATAAAGAGTCAACAAAAATTACATAATAGAAAAATCCTAAACATTCTGTCCTTTTTATCTTTTATATTCAAAAACGTGGTAATACGTTATTTAAACTGTTTTTCATTTACGCATATCTAACGCATAAAATTTTACTATGCACGCACAGATTCGTAAGTATCACTTATAGTCGACCAAATCTAAGAAATACCTTTTGACGTTTCACATTAATCATTCAACAATAACTTTGCACAAGCGTATTCACACGATTTAAAATAACCATTTACGTAAATCCGAAGAATTATACAGTTATCTATATATCATTACAACGTGTATAGTTGTTTATCACTAATTTAAATTTGAATCTTTCAAAGCAGAATATTAAAAAATCACCAGTATCAACTTTTTGTACTTGACGTCGTTTCAATGATACGTCGCTATGTACATTGCCGTAGTGTTTGGATGATTAAAATTAATTGTTATGCGAATAATCTGAAAAAATATTCTAATAATCGGCAAAATATTCAAATAATGGAATCATTTTTTTAAATGTATTATTTTTTTAATTAAATTTTTATTTTGAAAATTCCTTAAATTACACGAATCAAGAATAAAACTATGTAGTTCATTTTTTTTTTAATTTGTCAACGTAAATTTGTGTAGACAAAAAAACTCTTAATATACAAGGCCACGTCGATATAAAAGCATTACGTAATTTCAATATCCCGCCATTTCGGGCGCGTACTGTGCGTAATTTTGTGATTTTGTGTTTGTCTTCTTATTTTGTGACTCGGCTTTGACTTTTTGGACTGTTTCTTCAATATTTGTTGAAGCATATACCCATTTCACAAAGGATATTTGGGCAAAAGTGGTAAAAAAACAAAAAAAATTAGTATGGATGACTTTGAAAGAGACATTAATTTTGACTGCATTATTGAAAATCAAACAACGACAGCTGAACTAGTTGAACTGAAAGTGATTGAATAAATTTATTTTTAATTTAGTTTAATCTTAAATTTTTATAACTGTGCTTCTAGAAATAAGCAGTACCTAACAACAAACGCGTAGAAACTGATAATTCTTGTGTTTTAAATTATCCGTTTTTAATTTATTATGGTATCATTCAAACCAAACTGTAAATGATTACCAACTCTAAATAATCGATATCGATTTTTTAAGAAAATTGTACGTTCCCATTTCTTGGTTGGCATGCTTGGTGCAGTAAGTCTGACAGCTGTCAAAATGTATTTCTTAGATTTGGTTGACTATAGTTATAAAATTTAAGTACCTTGTCGCACGTCTTCTCTCTCTTCGATTATACGTTACCTCGTTAGATACCTACGTCCGACCGGCCGGCCGACAACTGACAATGTAGACCGTGATCTCATTAAATAAAAGTGTGCTACTGATATAATTAAATTTTGGTGGGTACTAGATTCGCTTCGTTACTAATAACTGAACGAAAATATCCAAACCGCGAATACTATGAAATTCCGCACCGTTTTTTGATCAATGATAGTTACGTGGTAAGCTAAAGTGGGTCTACACCGCGGCAAAAATAACATACGTGTACCAACCGAAGAACAATTGTTAGCTCATCAAATTATTCAAGTGCAGTGAGCGATAATTTAAATAGTGAATATGAAGATAGGATTTAGACCCTATGCAAACTCACCGGAACTTTGGCCGCTATACTTTTATCTGTGGGGTGAAATAAAGAGTCGTGTTTACGTTAAAGAGGCCCAAAGTTATGAAGATGGACACAGTAAAATTATTGACGCGTTCACGGAAGCTAAAAGTCAAGCACAGGCAATAAGTGTAAAAAATTAGTTTTAAGGAAACGTGCTCGTCTATCCATAGATAAAACCGGATTCCTTTTTGAGGTAACAATATTAGTTATTGAGATTATTTGCGTAATTTAGTTGTAAATAGTTTATTCCAATTTCCAAATACTCCATAATAATGACAGTCGTCGGTTACGTCGTTGATAAGCAAAAATATTTATAATTCGCGTCGTGTCTAAGAAAGTAAACAGTAGGCAAAAACTTGAGAAACGAAAACGTGAATTGAATCACACACAAAAGAGCGCGTGTGCGCGTAGTGGTTGTCCATAGATCACATTTAGTTTGGTATAATTCCAAAAACTATAATATAGGTATATCAATATATTTGAACTTAAATATTATATTTGGCTACTCTTTAAAAATAACCCAGTACACGTTCTTGTCCAAATAAATATAAAAATTTATTAACTGTTGGAAGTTGTTACATCTCATAAGCCTCTAAAGTCCGAATCTACATTTTTTAAAAAGATGAATAAGCAGCGCGCATAAGGCTTGCTAAAAATCTTCCTTCGCACTTTTGCCTCACTTTAGCTATTTAACATTTTTGTATAGTTTTGCTTACCTCCGCGTCTTCACTTATCGGCGGGTTGCGACCACGCAATCGCGCCATAAATCGTGCCGCACGAACGAATGGATTTTCTCTTTGCTCTTCGAATGTGCCGCCCTGTAGGAAAATATTTAAATACTATACAATCAATTATTAAAATAATCTTGTTGGTGATGTAATATACGTTATATAAGTGAGCCCGTTTTTCTGTTTTAATTTTTTAAATATTTAATGTGTCTTTTATGTTCAAATTTTAGCACAAATATATTGTTACGAGCTTAAAGTTCGTGACAATAAAAATTGCCGATTGAATTACCAAAATTTACACTTTAATTGCCTAACACCAATTAAAACTTAAAACACTAATAATTAACCACAGTGATTCACTTTATTTCGCTCCGAAGCTTCGCTTGTCTCGCCAAAATCAATACTTCCTCGATCGCATCTTGCAGCGCCTTTAAATACACGTTATCACCGAAACATCCAGAATATTCAAGTAAATACGCGCACCAATCGATTAGGCGCCGAAAGATCGAGTGTCGGGCTTATAGAAGCCTAGTTCTTCGTTTCGATACTAGATGGCGCTGTCGGTTGAAAGATTAGTGATGTCATTTTCTGGAAAGCTCTTCCCTCGCTCCGTTACCCGACACTAGATGGCGCTAGTGCCAGATGTCAACTTAGCCGCGCAACAATATTAATACAATATACAGCTGTAGGAGTGCAGCAGTGTGTACTGTGTACTTAGAGATCGCCCTGAGTTGCCTCGTCGGCCTCGACGCAAATGCGCACTCGCCACTCTGGCACTGCGATCGCCGGCACTACGTCAGAATGCAGTGTATCGAATGCAGCAGATGGAAGAGTTCAAATTTTCACAGGCGCTTACGCTGGCAAACCAGCCCTACCAACCTTACACATACAGTAGACCTGGAGGAGAGTCGAAGTCTTACGCTGTTCATTGGAGACGTTCACGTTGCTGAGTGGCGAGTGCACGAGGGAGTCTGCGCCAGTGACCACAATTTGATAACATACACGGCCACTACCAGCAGGCCGATCACTCGCGCTGCACCCGTCAGGGATCACCCCGTTTTCGTGACCGAGGGGTGGATTGGGACAGGTTCCAGGCGATTGTCAAGTTACGAATGGGATGGCTGCACGTGGAAAAACCCGCGGCCCTCCTGACGGTGGAGTTCTCAGAGGTCGTAATCTGCTCTGCGGAGGAAGGCCGAGGGGAGCGTCGCCATAGAGGGGGGGGTAATAATGGTGGACATCTGAACTGGAAAAAACTCGGTGTATGCCAAGTGTGTAGTAGAGGGGGTTTTCCCCAAGGTATGGAAGGACAGAAGACTGATTGTCATTCCTAAGGGTAATGACAAGTTATTAGAACGTGTCATTTTAAGATGTGCTCCCGCCATTAGCCGCGGGATATCCGAGTACCTGCACGGATTTTCGCCGGGGCGGTCTACGGTAACAGCGCTGCGTGTATTGCTCATCACGGCTAGGTATTCTCGGGCATGCTACGTACAAGCTATCTTCTTGGATATCTCCGGTGCCTTCGACAATGCCTGGTGGCCAATGCCTGCCTGGTAGTCCACCAACATTTACAAAATGTTGGTGGACTACTTCACCTCCAGGCGTGTGGGCCTCTACATCGGGGACCGGGTAGAGTGGAAGACCTCGACCATGGGATGTCCTCAAGGCTCCGTGCTGAGCTCAACACTGTGGAACGTGCTGATAGACGACTTACTCCGACTCCCCCTGTCTGAGGGAGTAGCCATGACCGCCTATGCCGATGATGTCACAATCTTGATTGAAGCGGAAACGAGAGCGGGTATCGAATCCAGGGCCAGGGTCACTCTGGACCTTGTAGGGGAGTGGGGGCTTAGGAATCGACTGAAGTTTTGCTCCTCAAAGTCTACCACCATGACTGTTAGAAGGAAACTTCAGCGTCCTTCCCCGTTATTAAACTTGGTGGGGAATCTATCACGACCGAGATTTGGCCCGTATGACTAGAGGGTCGGTGGGGCCATGGGAGGTGGTGGGTTGTACTGTGTGCGGTAGCGTATACCTGTGTGTGGGGAGCAGACGGGGCGCGAGGCGAAGCTAGCAGCGGCTCGCTCGCGTCGCTGTCGCTGTCGGAGTGCACGCGGCGCTCGCCGGCCGTCAGCACGCGACGCTTGCACACGGGGCACACGCGCCTGTTTTTCGTCAGCCACGGGTCTATGCACTTCGCGTGATACGCTGCGACACACAAACGCACCTTTACATACACCCGCCTACAAAATAACCGTAGTAAAAAACATTTTTAGACCGTGCTACAACAACCATAAATAGCTGCAGCATGGCTCTGTAGCGTAGTGTAGTTCCACAAAGGAACCATCTTAGTCCACAAGGGTGACAACGAATATGCATTTGCATTTTGATTCTTAATCGAGGATAAATTTAGATATCTATGGACAACAGCATCTACCATCAGGTGAACTGTATACTCGTATTATGTATAAAATAAATGATATTGTTACACGATGACGACTAATCAGAAGGCGTGGCAAATGATCGCGTCACCAGGATGGTCGTGGTTTGCGCCCAGGAAGTCGGTCAATATTGCAGCGGCACTTACTCGAACGGTCGGAGTGAGCAGATGTGCTAGGGGCTTACCTTTAGCTTAAATTATTAATAATAAAATTCAGTCTCTATATTACAATGTCAATATATTTTAGTTTCTTGAGAAATGTAATACCTTCCGACAAATAACATTGTTCAGACTTAAAATTCCCAGACTGACGACTGAGGATCGTCAACTGATACAACAACTAAAATAAATCTTTCCTTGATAGTGATATTTTAGGTGTTTTTGAAACGCTCCCAAGAAGATAACAACTAAGATTTGTGGGCAAGCGATGAAAAACGAAATATTTTTTTAACGTTTAATTAGCTTTATTCGCGCTCTATCATGTTAACGTATGGGCAGGTATATTTAAGGATTTAGATCGGTAAGCTGTTTAATACCTATTTTTTTTAATAACTTAGTACTGATCTGATCTCAATAGGTACATAACTGAATATATCAGAATAATAAACATACCTACACGATAGATAATTTAAGTAAATTTTTCATAAGCGGGGAATCGAACCAGTTATTTGGTTTATTTAACCTGTGAATTCGAGTTAAAGTGGTTAGGTGGAGACTAGCACAGTGGCAAAATAGTAGTTTAAGTAGATAAGTTAGGTATTTGGACAAGCGTTGTAAATTATTAGGTATTGGTACGATCGCGGGTGGCACATGAGTAGATAATTTCATTTATCTACTCATGTGGCTGCGGGCCGAACAGATCAGCGTTGCGCGTACAATGACCCTTGTCAGCTAGATTTTTGGGTATTTAAGTTTCACTGCTGGTTTTATGTTTAGGTAATTTCATGATTTTTTTAAACGAAATTATCGTTTCATTTAGCTGTACTAACATGATAAAGCGTGAATAAAGCTAATTAAACGTTGAAAAAATGATTTTTTTTCATTGGGATCGATTTTCTTTTTGTCTCGTCAAAGGTATCCTTAATACTATCGTCTGCCTTCGTTTTCGGGAGCGTTTCAAAAATACCCCTATACTATACAATATGTAACGTAATTAACGCACACCCTCAGACACCCCAATTAGTATATTATGTTATAATATAACATACACTGAATTTTTAGTTAAACATTTTTATGCACTGATTATTTATCAAATTCGTTATACTAATTCCGGAAGAATGTTGTGGTCACAGTACAAATCCACGAATGCAAAGATTTTAACGTGCTTGAAATAAAGTTCATTTTTCTTTATTTTTATTGAATGACAGAATTAGTAATAATACAAATAAAAATGCACTCTTAAAAGTCTTATTGCCTTAAGTTACGGTCCATTTCAGTTTGTTTTGACCGTACAGATTTAGTATGACTGTAATTTACGTAATTGTAATTATTTTTGGGATAAAAATTACCTATATTAAAAATGATAGGAATCGATTCAGTAAACGATTTTGAACAAACTACTTCCAGGATGTGCGTTAATCATGTTACATGTTATATATGGCCGAAGCAGTAAAAATAAATATTTAAAAAGTGGATATGAAGCAAAAATATTTTATCCCATGTTCATAGACAAGTGTGAACAGCAAAACAGTTTTAGACTTAGTCGTAACCCAAAACAATTCAATGCTACTCCAAATTTCTTTTTCATTACGAGAAACCCTCATAGATCTTTCGCTGCGGAGGAAATTAAAGGTTTTTGCCGGGTTTCTGCCCAGTTGATCCCCACGGTGGGTACTATAACCGTATTCAAAGGGTCCCGCGGGATCTTGGTTCGGAACGCAACCGAGCCACTTAATCGCCTTTTGATTATTAACACGTCCCCGGGGCAGTAATCGCTGCCCCCAGCACCCTCGTAGTGCTAACACGATGTCGCTAAACCGCTTTCATGTCACGTTTTATTAGTGCTAGCGTATGCATTCCACGGAACATTGTAAATTTTGCAACAAATTTTAATATTTGTTGCTGATTGCGTTCGCAGTAAATATAAATCCATACCCTGTATACGTTTGATATTGGGTCTGTCGAGCTTTACATTCGCACTGTTGCTTGAATTGTCACGCAATTTGTATTTATGCTTATTTTTGATGTTATTTAAAAAGGTTGGTAAACATATTCGATACAAATGGATTCTTTCAAATATATATGTATCTGGAACCATTTCTATAAATAAAAATGAATGTTGCTTTGTCCTATATAATCCTATACTATCACCTATTAAATTACGATGTCATTTATTGAGTTGTTGTGCGCGCCCGCGAAGGTTTTTGATTAATATTAGTTTATTTGTTTGTTCGTTTTCTACGCGTTTCTATATTCTTCATCTGAGAACGATAAAAATTTGGTGTAGGTATTGTATTGTATTGTATTGCAACGCAACGCACCGGGCAGAGCTAATTTAATGAAATAAATTAATGAATATAAATATTAGGCACAGGTACGACAGATGTTAATTTTGTTTTATTTTTCTTTATACCTAACTAGGACAACTTCTTGAGGTCTTATTAGAAAATAAATTAAACTTATAAAGTCAAAATTAATAATTATATTGATGTTTAGTACTATATTACTTTGATACAAATGTTACGACCCGCTTTTATGTCAACACATATTGAATCTTTTGTGTAATGTTTTGGTTTCCAAAACGTGTTGTAAAACATATTATTTTTATCAAATGTCAAACATGTTTTACTTCAACATATTGTTTGACATTCAAAACGTAATACGATACACAGTCAAAAAACTGAATTTTATACATGTTTTTATGTGACTGTTTTACCAGTGCAAAGTCACGGTAATAAAACAAAAGATTTCAGAAAAATCTTTATAACTGATAAAAAATCGATTATTATTAATGAGGGAATAACAGGCCTGCATCTATTTATACTATATTAATATGTGAAGACAAAATTTTGTGCCCCTTTTTAATAAATAATATTGCGCTCACGGAGGAGTGTGAGATATGGCAAAGTTAAAGTTTATAATATGGAAAAGCAGAAAGCTAAAATTTATAATAGTGCAAATAGATTAAAGAAAATGATATAAAACATTGTTTACGTTCATACTGCCACTGTCAAACTCATAATAGTCTGTATGCTTGACATTGGCAAAATGGCATTCAATGTGAATTTATGTGCGTGTATATCACTGCAAAAATCATTTGTTTTAAATTTTGTATATAAGTTACCTGTGCTTGGCTCAATATATAAACTTAAAAATTAAAAAATTACGGTCAAATTTCGACGACCGTGCGACCATCCGTTCAGGAGTTATGATGCCACAGACAGACACATGGCACGTACGGGCCGGCTCAAACCGGGGTGGTACCGCGACCTCACAGAATACCGGCGTGAAGTGGAAGCTCTGCTTCCGCGTTTCGTCTGGTGAGTGCAGGTGGCCGGAGGCCCAAATTCCCCCCCCCTCATCAACATGCTAGCGGAATTAAATGATGATAGACTACCCCAGGAGGGTACCAGCACCCCTGGAGAATCTCTCGCTGAGCATCCACGACCATGTTTCTCCACTTCTGAGCGTGGATGCTCAGGCTGCCCCGCGTATTCTGGGGGGGGGGGGGGCAAAATTCCGCTCAAGACTACAACTGCTCGGGGCAAACGGAGCAACAAGACCAAGGCGACCCCTGCCACGCTGTCCGTGAATTTCTGCAATATCAGGGGACTTCACTCTAACCTAAAGTAAACGCCGTCAACTACCATCTCGAGACGACGAGGCCGGCTCTGCTCTTTTTGACCGAGACGCAGGTGTCCTCTCCAACTGATGTCTCGTATCTCACCTACCCGGGGTACAAACTGGAACACTCCTTTGTGCCTCGGTCTTGAGTTTGCGTTTACATCAGAGAGGACATCTGTTCTCGACGCCTCGGCGGACTTGAAGGTTCGGACCTGTCCATCCTTTGGCTACGCGTAGACAGCGACGACCATCCGCGCGTCTATGGGTGCCTCTATAGGTCCCATAGCGGTAATGCCGAAACAGACAGACTCTTGGACCACGTCCAAATGGCTACAGATTCGTTGCTACAGCAGATCCCATCCGCAGACATCGTGATCCTCGTCGTCTTTAACGCCCATCACGCCGAATGGCTTGGTTCACGTTTAACCGACCATGCGGGGAGATCTGTTCATGATTTTGCCTTGGCATATGGTCTGACACAACTGGTTACTTTGCCTACGCGGATTCCAGATGTGGAGGATCATGCACCTTCCGTGTTGGACCTTCTGCTGACCTGTCACCCGGACGGATATCAGATTTCCGTCGACGCCCCTTTAGGCTACTCGGACCATTGTCTTGTTCGGAGTGTGGTGCCACTCACGCTGAAATGGCAGTTGCATTCTGCAGACTGCCGCCGTGTTTCGCACTGTAGGTCAGCCGATTGAGATGGGATGCGGTATTTCTTTGCATCCTACCCTTGGGGGCGGGTTTGCTTCTCGCCGGACGATCCCAACGTTGTTGTGGATTCTGTCGCCGATGGTACTCTGGTACGTCAGGGTATGGAACTTTTTATTCCTTCCTCTGTGGTGCCCATTGGAGGCAAATCTCAGCCATGGTTTGGTCGCTCCTGTAAAATAGCATCATGCTATAAGCAGGAGTGCTACCAAGCCTGGGCTGACGCATCAGCGTCCCGGGATGTAAACACCGGCGCTCTAAAAAAGAAGTATAATTCCGCCTCTAGGTCCTTCAAAAGAGTCATTGCCAAGGCAAAGTCAGAGCACATAGGCAGAATTGGCGAGAAACTAGTTCGCCTTTCTTCTGGAACCCGTGCATTCTGGTCTCTCGCCAAGGCTGTCCAGGGGAATTTCTGTCGGCCATCTTTTCCATCTCTGTACAGGGAGGACGACTCACTGGCCCATACCGCAAAGGAGAAAGCCGATCTTCTAGGCTCTTTCTTTGCGTCCAACTCGACTCTCGATGACGGGGCGAGTACGCCGCCGACCATCCCGCGGTGTGAGTGCTCCATGCCGGAAGTGCAGTTCACACAGCGCTCGGTTTGCAAAGCACTCCTCTTGCTGGACATCCACAAGTCGAGTGGGCCTGACGGAATCCTCCCAATTGTGCTGAGGACGTGTGCTCCAGAGTTGGCACCGGTTTTAACGCGTCTTTTACGGTACTCCTACTCCCTAGGCGCAGTCCCAAAATCATGGAAGACGGCTTTCGTCCACCCGATCCCTAAAAAAGGCGGCCGTTCAGATCCGTCCAACTACCGGCCTATCGCCATCACCTCCTTGTTCTCCAAAACAATGGAGTCCATTGTAAGCTGCCAGCTCATGAGGTACCTTGAGGATCACCAGCTCATTAGTGACCGCCAATACGGTTTTCGCCGTGGTCGGTCAGCTGGTGATCTTCTGGTCTACCTAACTCACAGATAGGCGGAGGCAGTAGAGTCTAAGGGGGAGGCATTGGCCGTTAGTTTGGACATTTTGCGAAGGCCTTCGATCGGGTTTGGCACAAAGCGCTTCTTTCGAAGCTCCCTTCCTATGGGCTTCCCGAGAAGTTGTGCGATTGGATCACCAGCTTTCTTGCAGATCGGGGCATCAAGCTCGTTGTAGACGGTGCGAGCTCCGATTACAAGCCTATTAATGCTGGTGTTCCACAAGGCTGAGTGCTATCGCCAACGCTGTATCTTCTGCATATCAATGATATGTTGCAAACCCGTAACATTCATTGCTATGCAGAAGCACTGGTGATGCTCTTTACACCGGCCGAGCCAATATTTCTCGGGAAAACGTTTCCTAATGCCGGGACAACCTTGTGTCTGAAGTCGAGTCTTTGCTGAACAGAGTCTCGGATTGGGGGCGACTAAATCTAGTCCAGTTTAACCCCCAGAAGATACAAGTTTGCGCGTTAACCGCTAAAAAGAATACCTTTGTCGTATCTCCCTTCAGTTTTAAGGCACACCCCTTGTTGCCTCAGCCAGTATCGGAATCCTCGGCGTCGACATATCGAGTGACGTGCAGTTTCGTGGTCACTTGGAAGAGAAGGCCAAATTGGTCTCTAAAACGCTTGGCGTGCTCAGCAGAGCGGCACAGTATTTCATGCCGGCACACCACCTGCAACTTTACAAGGCGCAGGTTCGGCCGCACATGGAATACTGTTCCCATATCTGGGCTGGGGCTCCCCAGTACCAGCTCCTTCCACTTGACCACATCCAGCGCAGAGCGGCTCGAATCGTCGACGACCGAGTGCTTTCCGATCGGCTCGATTCACTGGCACTGCGAAGAGATGTTGAATCTCTTTGCATTTTCTTTCGCATATACCATGGAGAGTGCTCTGAGGAATTGTTCGGATTAATCCCAGCCGCCAAATTTCGTGAACGCACTACGCGGCAAACGTCCCGATACCATCCACACCATCTGGATGCTTGGCGGTCCACTGACTTTGACTGTACGTTTCAAGAGGAGTTTTCTTCCGCGTACAACCTCTTGTACAACGATTTTCGCGATACGACCTAGGGACCTTCAAGAAAAGAGCGTACTCCTTTCTAAAGGGCCGGCAACGCACCTGCAATTCCCCTGGTGTTGCGGTTGATCATGGGCGGCGGTAGTCACTTAACATCAGGTGAGCCGCACGCTCGTTTGCCCCCTCCTCTATAAAAAAAAAAAAAACACAGATACACACTACAAACTTAAAACACCCCTCCTTTTCGTAGCGGTTTAAAAATTATCATCATCATCATATAAGCCCTCCCCCAAGGTATGCAACAAAGCACGGTCCTGAGCCACCGGCATCCATCGACTTCCTGCATGTCTTACCAGGTCGTCACTCCATCTAGTGGGGGGGGGGGGGGTCATCCTACACTTCGCCTTCGCCGGTACGAGGCTGCCACTCGAGAACACTGACAACCGTTGGGGAAAAAAGTTCCCCAACGGTTGTCAGTTCTTCGAGCTATATGGCCGGCCCATTGTCACTTCAGCTTACTAATCTGTTGGGCTATGTCGGTCACTCTGGTTCTAATGCGGATATCTTCATTTCTAAGTTTATCACGCAGAGAAACTCCGAGCATAGCCCTCTCCATAGCTCGCTGAGTGACTTTGAGCGTCCTCATACGGCCAGCAGTTAAGGACCACGTCTCAGTTCCATATGTCATCACTGGCGACACGCACTGGTTGTACAACTTAGTTTTGAAGTTTTGAGGTATACCTGACGAGAAGATGTGTCGTAATTTCCCGAACGCTTCCCAGCCGAGTTGAATCCGTCGATTGACCTCTTGGTCGAAGTTGGACTTACCTAATCGGACTATTTGTCACAGGTAAACGTACTGGTCAACAACTTCGAGCTTAGTGCTCCCAACAACTACGGGCATAGGTGTGACATGGACATTAAACATGATCTTTGTTTTGTCCACGTTCATCTTAAGACCTATCCGTTAGGAGGCCCTATTGAGGTCATTGAGCATAGTGCTTAAGTCCTCCAGCGATTCTGCCCTAAGGACTATATCGTCAGCAAATCGAAGGTGAGTGATGTACTCGCCATTGATGTTAATACCGTATCCTTTCCAGTCCAGTAGCTTGAAAACGTCTTCTAATGCAGCGATGAAGAGTTTCGGGGATATAACGTCACCCAGTCTTACACCTCTCTGCAGTTGGATAGGTTTCAAACTTTGGTTCTGTGCTCAGATAGCCATCGTATCCTTACTGTACAAACACTTCAGCACTTCGATATACCGACAGTGAATTTGGCATTGCTGAAGAGTCTGCAGCACCGCCCAAATTTCGACGGAATCAAAGGCCTTCTCATAGTCCACATACGCCAGGCAAAGTGGCAGATTGTATTCTTCGGACTTCTGTACAATTTGCCGAAGGGTATGTATGTGGTCTATGGTACTAAAGCCTTTTCGGAAACCGGCTTGTTCGGGAGGCTGGAAGTCGTCAGTCTGCGTGCGAGACGGTTCGTAAAACAGCACGTAGTCGCGGCTCAGAAGGGATATCGGTCTGTAGTTCTTTAAGAGGGCGTTGTCACCTTTCTTGAAGAACAAGACCACCGCACTTCTGCTCCACGCCTCGGGAGTAGTACCTCCATGGAGGACGGAATTAAAGAGCTTCTGAAGGACTTCAAGTACCGGTTTTCCACCCGCTTTCAGAAGCTCCGCTGTAATTCCATCCTCGCCCGGGGGTTTGCCGTTTTCAAGTTGCTGGAGAGCCATTCTAATCTCGCTCAGACTGACGTCCTTTAAAAATTATAATAAAAACCAATTCGTACTAAATATGTCTTTATTTCGGTTTCAAGGTAATAAACGCGTTGTTTTTGCAATTTATAAATCGCCGTACACTTACCGTGAGCACATGGCAACACCCTCAGCCTTTCGCCTTCCTGGTAGTCGTCGAGGCAAATGGCACAAGTGTCATAAGGGTCGCCCTTACTAAATTTACACGTGGGTATTTTCTTGAGCGCCCGATTCGGAAGTCTGTGCCGTCTCGCTCGTCTCCTGTCCTTTATGCACTTTACTATCTGAAATGAATTTAAGTTTTGCTAAAGATTGTCTTGCGGTATAGCAGGCGTGAGATAGTTCATCATCCTATCATCCCATCATGTTAAGGGAGCGTGGTGAGAATCAATTAAGAGGAGTGCTAAGAAGATTTTATTTCATTCGATGGATTGGCATCGAACCATTTCACGTATAATCGTATTCCATTGGTATGTACGAACTATGGACAAAATGCATACCCTGTTTTGTGTTTTAAAGTACAATTAAATTAAAGCAAATTTTGGCGGCTAAGTTTTTAATTGTTACGAGGATACATAACTAATAAGTTTTATTCATACTAGGTTAGGTTAAAAAATAATTGTTGACTGGCTTTATTCTAAATTTACATAGTATGCGACTTTACCCTTTATATTTTCTAATCTACATGTGAAAACTTTTTAATGGTAAATTTCTACATAAATGTATAAAAACGAATGATTATAAATAAATAACTGAAAGTATTTTTAAAAAACCTAAAATAAATTAACATTGACATGAAAACCAAGATCGACATCGAGAAAGCAGCGTTGCTAATCCGTTTTTGCCAAGCGTGATAATTCAATGGCAAATCCAATTAAAATCCTGTACTGACAGTGTTAACTAAGACACTAAGATGTTTTATATTGACCGATATGAAATAAATATTTAAGTAATTAGCTATAAAAAAGGATAGATTACAGTGTCTATGGGCCGCAGTATGCAATGACTTCTAGATGAAATGTGTGCTCCTTTGTTACCTTTATTTGCACTGAGTAGTTGAGAAATTTATTCTTAACCTAATAAATTCTTAATTTATTCTTAAGGAAAAAAGTTACAGCCTATACAATATGTAACGTAATTAACGCACACCCTCAGACACCCCAATTAGTATATTATGTTATAATCATAATACATACACTGAATTTTTAGTCAAACATTTTTATGCACTGATTATTTATCAAATTAGTTATGCTAATTCCGGAAGAATGTTGTGGTTACAGTACAAATCCACGAACGCAAAGACTTTAAAGTGCTTGAAATAAAGTTCATTTTTCTATATTTTTATTGAATGACAGAATTAGTAATAACACAAATGAAACTGCACTCTTAAAAGTCTTATTGCCTTGAGTTAAGGTCCATTTCAGTTTGTTTTGACTGTACAGATTTAGTGTGACTAATTTACGTAGTTTTAATTATTTTTGGGATAAAAATTACCTATATTAAAAATGATAGGAATCGATTCAGTAAACGATTCTGAACAAACTACTTTTTCAAAGTGCGTTAATTATGCTACATGTTGTATATAGGTCTCACTGCTGGGCACATGCCTCCTCTCATTTCTGAAAGGGTTTTAGGGCAAGGAAATGTCCGTCGCGCTGCACCCATGCGTGTTGGCGAACTTCACATATCATCGAAATTTATTTTTTCTTATTTATCAGACTTGCAGGTTTCCTCACGACGTTTTCCTTCACTGCTCGAGCAGTGGTAAATCAGCACTTAACATTCCAATTAACAATTTCATTGGTGCCGGTGGGTTCGAACCTGGGTTGCTCGCGTACTGTGAAATCTACAGCGAGCGCTAATAATCTGAGCTACCACGGCTCTATTTTTATATTGCTTGAAAACACTAATATAATTTATACGTGGTAGAGCCTTGCTGCAGTTATATTAGTGGTATAGTTGTAGCATGAATGGGTCGGCTCGACCGGGGAAGGACCACGTTCTCACTAAATACCGGCGTAAAATAGTTATTGTTGTTTTCTCACGAGCATCTGCATTTTGATTCGTAATCGAGGATAGATGTAGATGTCTATGGGCCGCAGCAACCACTTACTATCAGGTTGACTGTGTGCTAGGTGCACCCTATTCTATTAAAAAAATAATGCAATTAGAGTATTCGGTATGTCTATATCACACAACTGTTACGATCAAAAGTCCAGTGCCGAACATAGGCCTCCAAGCTGATCGCCTCACAAGGGGATATTTGTTATAGTTGGCACGGTTGGCAGGCGGTTTGGCAACCGCAATTCTTTAGTTGTTATAAGGAAGATGCTGCTGCCTATCTCCTGGCTTCATTTCGTCTGTGACTAGGGCTAGTGGATATTGTTACAAAGTCGCCACACGGTCGAAAGCACACAACACTGCACTTTTTGCAAATTTAAATATGGTCTAAATGAACAAGCATTCGTCGGATTATTATTTACGTAATAGACAAACGATATTTTGTTTTCTTATATTGAAGAATAGATCGAATACCTTTAAACGAGCAATTCTTGTATAGGGGAAGTTCGGGTAGCCCCAGACACTAAAATCAATTGCAAATAAAAATATTAATAAACAAAATTTCTGTCTTTATTTTACACTTAAAGTAAAGCTAGGAACTTCTTTAATCATAATAATTAAAATTATTAATCATATCATTTTTTTTTAAGGAAATATATTGAAAATACTTTGGTCTCATTTTTTTGACGATACAAAAGACGGCGGGTAGCCCCGGACATAATAATCAATACTGGCCTAATCGTTTTTTGGCCTTACAAACATCACAATTAAAATAAACATCCGAAGAATCTATGTAAACACAGTCTTCATGGGCCCAGTTTTTGCATTCCTGGCACTGAATCCAGTCCTCTTCAAATGTTTCTCCACATATGATGCATTTGGTCTCTTCCTCTCCATTTTCTTTGGAAAGACTTTGAATATTTTTAGTTGTTTTTAACATCTTTTTTAGTGCCTTTACTTTTTTGTTTTTTCGGTTTTCTGTCTCTACTTTTCTTTCTTTCCTCTACATCTTTTTTGTAAGGTGATGATGTTATAATCTCGCTCCTTTGAGTTTTTCGAGCCCGCTTTAACGACCGTTTTTTCGATGCGTCAGGAAATGGTGATAGCTGTTTCAATATATCTGTTGAGCTGGTTGAAGACTCCGGTTCATTTGCAGGTAATGCATGACTAGTGGAGGGCACTGGCGAAGAATGTGCTACTGAGAACTGATTGGCCATATTTTCTTTGGAAGAAACTTCTTGCATCACATCTGTCATCATTGATGGTAAAAAATCAATGTCAGTAAAGATTTCAGGGTTAAATGGATAAATTCCTGTGCACTTGAATCCGTTTTGTGCTATATCCAACCTTGCTGCTCTGCTAAAGGCTTCGTCCACAAGTGCAGCAATATCATAGTCAGTGATTCTAGCTGCAGGATTTCGCCTCATCCATGCTGAACTTGCAGTTGCAAATGCAGATTTAAAAGGTTTAAAAAATGTCCTGTCCAACGGCTGTAATTTATGAGTTGTATGAGGTGGTGTGCTCAGCATATGAATGTAATGATTACGTGCATATTTTATAACTGCCAGCTCCTTATGACTAGCGTGGCCATCCAAAATTAAGAGGACAGGATTTGTTTCTGTTGGCTGAACATGTTGTTTAAAATGTTGCAACCATTGGAAGAACACCTCACCGTTCATCCATCCGCTCTCTTGAGGAGTAGCAATACTATCGGGTGGAGCTCCTATCATCAAGCGACCGTTCTTATCCATTTTCTTCCGAGGAAAAATGAAAAGGGGTGGTATGAAATGACCAGTGACATTCATCGCAAAAGTTAATGTGATGTTTCGACCTCTTTCTGCAGATGTTAATTTACCAACCTGTTTTTTTCCTTTTATCGAAATGACTTTATCATTTTTATGCACATTTGATACCCCTGTTTCATCGGCGTTGTAAATTCTAGAAGGAGGGAATTTATATTTCTCTTGAAGGTGATTAAGCTGCCCAAAGAAACGGCTAACTTGTGGTTTGTTAAACCCAACAGCCCGCGCAATGCTAGTCGATTCGGGAGTTCTTAAAACAATATTAGGATATTTTTTTCTAAAACTGTAAAAAAAGTCCTTTCCTGCGACTCCCTTCTCTTTATTAAATCTATGAGGGATTTTGAGGTTTTCTGCCAAATCAAACGCTAATTTTAAAAACTCCTTCCTACTTAATGGCATAAGACGATTGTCCAGTTCTTTAACGTGCTCATATAGTTGCATAGAAAAGTTTTCAGAAAATGTGGTTTCAAATCGCCCCAACTTCGGGTAAAAAGCAACCTCTTTTGCCACTTTTCAAAACTTTCAGGCGATCGTGAAGTGAGCTTCTTGGGACATCAAACCTGTCTGCCGCTTGTCTTACAGATAACTTGCCTTCCATCACATTTTTAACAGCTTCTTTCATTTTATTTTCGTCCCATTTTCCTCTATCGCTAATTCTTCCCTTAAATTTCGGCATATTTTAGATCTTTCTGCAACAATAGTAAAAACATTTTAAAATACTTTCCATAAAAAAGCAAACTGACAAAACAATTGTAATTTGTTGACACAATATTGCGAAATTCAAAACTTAAACCACTGTCCGGAAGTACCCGACATTATCGTGTCCGGGGGTACCCGATCGTTATCATTTAACATTTTTAAACACAGCTCTTAAATAGTTAATAAATTGTTTAAAATCCTGTTACAAACTTCAAATGTATAAAATTGGCTACAACATAAATAATAGACAAGTTTACACACTTACGTATTGTACTTAGTAATCCTTCAATGAAGTTTGACAGGAGCGACGAAGTTTTTTTTGGCGGGAACAAAACACACACTCACGGGTAACTAGCTTGGCGGCCACACCGCAACTGAGTTGGATTTGCTTTTACTCCAGAGGGCGCACATTTATAGTAAAGTTTTACCTACGCAACGTGTTTAGTTTCTTTGATATTTAAATGTCCGGCGTTACCCGCCGTCCGGGGCTACCCGACTTTCCCCTATACAACACGTAACATAATTAACGCACTTTGAGAAAGTAGTTTGTTCAGAATCGTTTACTGAATCGATTGTTATCATTTTTAATATAGGTAATTTTTTTATCCCAAAAATAATTAAAACTAAGTAAATTACAGTCACACTAAATCTGTACAGTCAAAATAAACTGAAATGGACCGTAACTTAAGGCAATGAGACTTTTAAGAGTGCAGTTTTATTGGTATTGTTACTAATTCTGTCATTCAATAAAAATTCAGTGTATGTATTATGATTATAACGTAATATACTAATTGGGGTGTCTGAAGGTGTGCGTTAATTACGTTACATATTGTATATATGTATATAATTGGAATCTCGGAAACGGCTCCAACAATTTTCATAAAATTTAGTGTCCATGGGTTTTCGGGGGCAATAAATCGATCTAGCTAGTATTCATTTTTAGAAAATGTCGTTTAGTCCGTGTTTTCAGGAATGAAAAATGAAGGTTTTTGGTGTATTAGCTCATAGGAGGGTGGTTGGAACTCTGGTTTGAGTCCTGTCTTCGGTTCACCCTTTTCCTTTTTTTTAGTTTCCTTTTTGTGAGATCTATTATTACGAGCCCCTTTATATTTTTTAAAAGCACCAAAATTTAAATTAAACTAATTGCACTTATGATTTTTTATTCAACTAATAAGTTAAGTTTTTTCTATTATGTCAGTAAGATCAAAAAATATTCCTCATATTTCATCGGTATGTAATTTGTATCTAAATGTTATTTCCAAAAAACGATTTCCAAAAAAAAAAACCGAGTAAAGCTCGGTCACCCAGGTACTTTTAATTTAAGCTTTCTTAATGTTGAAGAGGCTCATGTACTGCAATGACCTATTGACAGGCTGATGGGGATTTTGACTTTAAGATATTTTATTGTATATTTATCGATTGTCAGGATGTTTTTGCAGTAGCGGCAGAATCCAAAACTGAAATACATGGAGACACACACACACACACACACACACACACACACACACACAAGCATGGCATAATCCTCTCTAACAGGCATTGTATTTTCAGGCGGACACTTTTACATGTTATAATGGATGAAATAGAAAAAATTGTTTGATCTTTTTTGTAGTTACACATAATTATTTATATTGAAAATACCCAAACAATTAATTCTACTTTTAGAATGGTTAGCTTAAATTGTGTTCTGAAATGTATAAAAAAATCTTTTCAATCAAGAAAAGGTTAGTTTTTATGAGAGGATTTAACAATGATGATCACTTACCATAAATATGAGAATTACAACTAGGCACAACACGACCACGACCGCGAAGGGCACCAGCAGACTGTTGATGTTGTATGGCAGGTCGCCGTTCACCATTATATAGTATCTGTAAATAAATATATTATCTCCTTTAACTGTTAGATAGAGATAGAGAACCCATCACCCCACATCGTCTAGAGGCGACTATGGAGATTGAGAGACATTATAGCTTTATAAAGATGGTGTTTAAGCCATACATAAAATATCCAGAACGGCGACGAGTAGCAGCGTCAAAATTGCCAGACGTCTGCTACTGCGATCATCAATCCGCCTGCCACGCACGACAATTAGGTTCTAGCAACCAACGAATTGCGCAACCTAAGTAAATTTGTTGGTAGATATACAAACAAACTTACAGGCCACTAACAGATAACTTACAGTCCACTAACAGGTAACTTACAGTCCACCTGTTATTAAATATAGAAAAGAATTTACAGTCCACTAACAGGTGATAACTTACAGTCCACCTGTTATTAGATATATAAAAGAATTTACAGTCCACTAACAGGTAACTTACAGACCACCTGTTATTAGATATAGAAAAGAATTTACAGTCCACTAACAGCTAACTTACAGTCCACCTGTTATTAGATATAGAATTTACAGTCCACTAACAGGTAATTTACAGTCCACCTGTTATTAGATATAGAAAAGAATTTACAGTCCACTAACATGTATAGTTCATTTCAAATAGGATGGCAGGATTCCACTTGAGACTTTTACAGCAATTACAGCTGTAATGTTAATCTATTGTTGTGTGATTATTTTATTGCTTTAACACTTGAAGTTAAGCATCTGTTGATAATACTGAACCAGTATAGCTGGAATGACGAATTTTGGTAGTTGAACATTAAAACAAATTAAATTGTAAATAATAAACCTTTATTACTTTTAACTTAACTATTTTAAATACTTATAACAACTTGTTAATATTTTGTTTAATCAATCACTCTGAAGAACATTCATCGGTATCTGTGTCCTCACACGTATTTATTATAAATGGTTGTATCCGATCCCTCGAAAATTCGTTTTCCACTCTTATGACATGGTCACAAACATTCTTCCAAAAAATGGGATTTGTAGAATTTATTACGTTTCGTACACTTTGGATTACATTTTCCCCTATTATAGGCGTAACGTTTGACTTACGGACAGTTTTTTTTATTTGACCCACATTAACTCAATTGGGTTCAATATACAATAATAAGGTGGGAGTCTCATTATCTCATGACCAGCCTCTTGTGCTAATTCATCGACCACATATTTTTTTTCAAAATAATTGTTTTTGACTACTTCCAACAAACTTTTAATTGTTGATTTCTCTGGCACAGAAATGTTATGACTTCTTAAAAAACTTATTATGTCACTTTTCCTAGTGTTTGTGCTGGGAATTTTTTCTATTTGTCGGCTGTGGTATGATGCGTTATCCATAACAATCACACTGCTACTGGGAATATTAGGCAAAAGCTGATCAGTGAACCATTTCTCGAATAATCCAGAATCCTTCATGGTAGTCTGCACTAGAGCTTTTCAAATGTTTGCTAGAGATCAGTAAAGCCCCTGGTATCCAGCCCTGTTCACCGCCTGCGTGTAATACTATTAAACGTTTACCCCTAGAACATGGAGCTTTAGTTGTACAACTTGGTGAATTGCCTGTGTACCCTTTTTTTTAGAGTATCGTGAGTGTCAAACCATGTTTCGTCTAAATATATTATATTTTTTCCTGCCGACCTTCGTAAACGTATTTCATTAATAAATTTTTCCCTTAGTAATAAAAGTCGGGGAACTTTCCATTACAGTTCTTCTTTCATCTAATTTTCCATACTTGAATCCAAGTTTTTTTAATAGTCTCCAGAGTGTAGTTTCTGAATATTCAAAACCAGCTTCACTTCTCATCAATGATTGATAAATCTCACGTAACGTTGGAATCTCATTGTTGAGGTAAAAATTGTAAATAGTCCTCCTCACATGTTCCTCTGTAAAATTATCAATTATTTTAAAACTTATCTTGGTCCGTTTACGAGGAAGATGATTAGATCCTGCTTAACACTATTCTACAAACAGTTCTTATAGGCACGTTTGTTAATTCCGATGTCTCTTTAACCACTCCCTTATCACCCATGCGTTTCAAAAGCTTATTGTAAACACTCAAAACTATGTCTTGAGCGTCTGAACTTAAATGTCTTTTTCTACGCTGAACACTATTTTCATCACTTGTAGATGCACTATTTGATATTTCCCATGGTCGAAACATGTTTTATTTGTACGTCTGTGTAACAACGAAGTTACAAGACGACTGAATTTTTGACAACAATGTCATCGTGTATTTAACAAAAGCATCAAAACTTGTTCGCTGCCACAAAAATACCACGTCAGGATAAGGTCTTCCCAGGTATCGGTTGTAAATACCACTTCTTTTGTTATCGCCTAATGACCGCTTCAAGTACAATCCTGCCATGCTATTTGAAATGAACTATAACTTACAGTCCACTTGTTGGTAGATATAAAAAGAACTTACAGTCCACCAACTTGTATATCTATTTAAAAATGCTGAACCTAAGACCAACTAGTAAGAGGTTGCAGAATGCAGATTTACTTATGGGAGGCACTGTGCCCAATAATAACTCAGCTTACTACTTACTTACAGAGGCTTCTATGTGTGAAGAGGATTGAAAAGGCTGACGAGTTAAGACAATTAGTATTAGAATTAAGACAAAATCTACATTATATATTGTCAGCACAAAATGACGAATAAAGGCAACGTTGCACAGTTTATTTTTGTTTTTCTTTTTCAATGAATCAATGCAAATGAAAGCAAAATGAATCGTCCTAAATTGTTCTATTACCGTTCGTTGGCACTGCCTCCTTCACGATTAAAGTATTTTAGTTCAAATGTCTTATTATTGTATTGGCATCGTTCACCATTAAACGAAAAATATGACCTACTTATGACCGTCTTTCTGATCTATAGTAATGTGTTTTTAATTTAATCATAATTGATGGAATAAATCATGGTATGAAACAATAACATGCATCCTTTCATCAATCCACACAAATGAACATTCTCTAAAAATTATTTACTGAGAGTGAACTAGCAAAAAGTCAAAGTCAAATAATTTTACTCAAAATTGGTTTTTACAAAACACATTTTGAATGTCAAAAGCTAAGTCATTACTTTATAAGTCCCTATTGCGGAGACTTTGAGTAGACATGGCAAGAAACTCACAAATACTCTATTTTTCTCCCAACATTTACAATTTAAGTCTTACAATAGACGTGGTAGAGCCATGCTGCAGTTATATTAGTAGTATAGTTGTAGCACGAATGGGTCGGCTCGACCTGGGAAGGACCACGCTCTCACAGAATACCAGCGTAAAATAGTAGTTTAATGCTTCTGTGTTTCGTATGGTGAGTGTTCCACCTAAGTCCTCACGGATGACAACGCATTGCATTTTGATTCGTAATCGAGGATAGATGTAGATGTCTATGGGCCACAGCAACCACTTACCATCAGGTGGGCTGTGTGCTCGTTTGTCATCCTATCCTATAAAAAAAGTTGTCTAAAGCATGTAGCCAGTATGGAATGTTCACCTAACGAACTAAACACAAGACGTTTATTTGAACAGAGCGTGGAAAAGGTGTTGCCACTCAATCATATTTTCATACTTACCGGTTAGAAGTGTAGAGGTATTCTTCGAACAATATGAGTCCGGCGAGGTCGCCCACGAACACCGACGGTATCTTTATGCCTTCGGAGTTATTCGCTGACATCGTCTCTGTAATATTATGGCAATTAAAAACGATGCTTGTTTTTATTTTTATTGATGTTTACCATCCATCAGCAAGCCTATTCGCTAACTTTGTTGAGATAAAACCGATAGCTTTTTGAGTATTTTTTACAAGTATTCAATCGAAACCATTTCTCTTCTATATTGATTCCATAATTCTCTCTAAGAGAGGGAGAGAGACATATCTCTAAGAGAGATTTAAGGAAGCAATAAAGGGGAAGAAAGATCTAGAGAGAATCTAAACCGGCTACAATAATTGTAAAAAAATGTAATTATAAGATTTAGCAATAAATAAAAAATTTATCAAAATGATTCTTACTTTGAAGTACATTGCATCGTATGTTTTATGATAGTAGCTTATAGAAAAGCTTAATAGCAGAAGCAATATACTACAAAGTGAACTATCAAGTCCGTGTCAACAAACTGGCTTATAAAAGTTAAAAAAATAAAGATGAAAAGACACGCAGGCGATGAGGCCGTTTTATATTATTAGGTAGAATAAAGCCTTTGCACTGCATTGGGATGTTTGTATCGCTTTTTTTTTAAATTGTATAGAGTGAAATGTTACATGGTTTGGCTTTAGGGACACAAGTGGTTCTAAACATGAGGTTGTATAGAGTTGGGCAAAAATATAGTTATTTTTTCTGTCACGAAATTATGAGTAGGAGGTCAGAGTCGTAACATGGCGGTGTTTCAACCCTGTGCCTCGGAAAGCTGCTGCTCCTACGCCTGATCCTCTCCCCTGTCGTGTCGGAAGTGGAATGGGGAAAAGAGGAGTGCACCTGTTCTTGCGCATACGCTCGTGCATAATGATCCGTCCAGCGCAGATGGCTAGTATCCGTTGAAACTGACCGCCGTGAAACAAGACATTATTGTTTTGATTTGATAAATTCCTTACCTTTACGTCAATACCGTATCTAAAGTTACAATAAATAAGCTTATTATAGAAGTACTAACCCACTAACCATGCAATGAGAGTAATGACTAACTACAGATAAATAAAAAGTTAAGAGATGTTGTTCATGCGTCACTGTTCTATTTATATCCTTAAGGGGAAATATAACCTCAAATGGCTTAGCAAGATCCTCCGTTATGCCGAAAATATTGCAGCATTAACTTTGAAATAAATAAATGGTAACGTTGAGGATTAATGTTAAGGACTATGTTAGACGAAAACATGATTCCGTAAAATTTTCTCCATAGTAAAAAATCCAAAGTTACCTCCAAAATAAACAATAAACCGCTGTTATACACAAAATACTTCAAATAAGATCATGAAAATTTTGCATACTAAACTAACTATAAAGCAGTGCTTATGTTATTTACTTTTTTTAAATACCAATATTTTCACTGTAAAAAGAAATTACCTAAACTATTGGCCTCTTGAAGCTTGATTCCTGCCGCCCGGTCAGTTTCGCTTCGGCCTTTGAAGGGGGAGGTTGTGTCGCTTACGATCAGAATACACATTACGCAACCCATTAAATACCCTTTGGCATGTGTGGCAGTAGAGTTGGCCACACGAGTGGTACGTACGTATAATGTGGACCTCAGCCCTCCTACGTACATAAGCATAAGAGGGCTTAGGTCCCACTTTGCGCAATTGGCGTTTTAAGTCTAGAGTTTTGAGGCGGCTTTCCTCAAACGATTTCATTCTTTCAAAGATTGTTGATCCTCCTCAAAGATCCTCTTAACACTCAGGGTTTATACCGCAAGCATTCAGATGTCTTTTGAAAACGTCCTCATAGCGCAGATGCTGATCATCGTGCTTTCGCTTACCTTCTGCCATCTCTGAGTAAAAGGCAGGTTTAGGTAAACGACGATCATCCATGCGAAGGACGTGCCCGCATCACCAGCCGGTAATATTGCCGCTGGACCGTTACCGTTACGGCCTATCAAATTCCACTCCTGAACACAGACCTTCCCAATAGATTGCCTCGTAGGGGAGATATTTGCCATAGTTCCTATGCTTGGCAAGCCGGTTAGCAACCGCAGTGTTTTATTATTTGTCGTTATTTGGAAGACGGTGCTGCCCACAACCTGATTTTTTTCCCTCTGTCTCCTACGACACCCATGGGATGATATGGGGTTAGTTAATATTCTTACAACCGTCACTACACGATTGGTGAAGACATGATGATATTGTAAACATTAATATTTGTATACATATTGTATTTCATTAGGCAATTTATTAATTATAATGTACATCTCTATTATAAAAGATTAAAAGCAAATAAATATATCATTCTCTCTCTCTCTCTCTCTCTCTCTCTCTCTCTCTAGTGCTAGTTACAGAATGACTGTTAAAAGTATTAACTACTATAATATTTAATTTATTTATTATATATTAAAAAAAAATATAGGAAAACATGTTCTATTTATTTAACATTGCATCAGTAGGTATGCTTATAATTTGGACTGTGACTCACTTCATACTACTATATTCATTTATTACAGCACAACACAAGCTCGCTGCTAAACATAGGGGATATACAACATGTAAGGTAATTAAGACACCCCAATTAGTTATGTTATAATCGTAAAATATACACTGACTTCTTAATTAAATATGTTTATGCATTGATTATTTATTTAATTAATTATACTAATTTCGGAAGAATGTTGTGGTCACAGTATAAATACGCGTTCATTTTTCTTTATTTTGTATTGAATGACGGCATTTGTATTAATACAAATAAAAAAGCACTTTTAAGTCTTATTGCCTTGAGTTACGGTCCATTTTAGTTTGTTTTGACTGTACAGGTTTAGTGTGACTGTAATTTACGTAGGTAGGTTTAATTATATTTTGGGATAAAAAAATTACTTATATTAAAAATGACAGAAATCGATTCAGTAAACGATTCTGAACGAACTACTTTCAGGATGTGCGTTAATTATGTTACATGTTATATATATTGTCTACTATAGTACGTTTATTTACTATGATTGCCACGCAAAACGGTAGGTTTGTAACCGCACTTTTATTATTATTTTTGAGTGGTGATGAAGAAGATGCAGTTTCTCTTCGACGACGTCGTTTACAACACCGACGAGATGATATGTGTTAACGGATTATTTTACGCACCCACTACACGGCAAACTCACTCTCTGGTATATATAGACACATCAGTATCCTAGTAGTACTTAGTTATTGGTTTCTAGTTTGGTTGTGACGGGGAATTAAAACAGACTAGGTAATCCACTTACTCTTTCAGGAGTGATATAATTATAATTCATAATTCATCAAAATGTTTTTTAATCCAAGATGAATTCCTTTTTTAAATTCTCTGACCATTATTTTCTTCCTTGCTTAAAATGCTATGGACTTAATGGAATCCTATATAGATTACCAGAATAATTATTGAAGATAATTTATTGCCATTTATTACTTGTTTGGTAAACGATCTCTGTCCTGGGAAGAACTAACACGATAAATGGGACCGTTTTTAAATATTAATTTATAATGTAACAAGTATGTTGTATAGAAATGTAATCAAATAATCATTGAGGTAATATTTTGTTTATATATAACTATAAGAGAGTCACCACAGCTATCATATAGTTATATATATGGAGTTAAAAGCTTGTTGTTAATTTCATAGTACGCTAGAAACTGAGATTCTTCCCCCGCCGGCACCAATTACAATTTTAAGTGCTGATTTACGGTCTCTCGATGTCTAGCCAACAATACATAATATATATATATATATATATATATATATATATATATATATATATATATATATTTTTTTTTATATAATATTAAAAGGTCTTAAGTAACAACTATCAAAACCTAATGGTAACAAAAAATAGAGTGACTATTGAAGAAAGACTCACACGAAATTGAGCCATACCGCACTCCTGGTAGTGCTGCAATACCGTCATATTTACACATCACTATTCATTGCACATGAGTTAACTGGGATGCGCTCGGGGCTGCACTAACGAGAGTATTATCGGTGCAGTGCGAACGTTCGAGACAGCTGATAAGAGGTCATTTTCTAGTGCTTTGGCTAGCAGAGGTTTGTACTTGTCCCGGAAGGAAGCGCCAGTTTTCGAAGTGCAACGTACTAATTATTTCATATTTAGCAATTGGAATAACACGAACGAAAATCAATCGCATTTCTTATCTATAAGGTTTATTGTGGTTCATGTATAAATAATATATTATTTCATGGATTTTCATCAATCAAACATTATTCAACAAATACATCATTTAAAGTACTTAATACTCTTCTTTTTATATGAATAAAATAAAAAGGAGCTCTTTCAATTTACGTTAGTTTAGGGTAAGAGAAAGTTTCCTAAAATAAGATAGTTCAATATTAGAAAGTTCGTTTAATTCGTAGTATTATATGCTCAGCCATTGGGCGGTTTCCATTCACCGGCAGGGCATCAGCACGGCGCGGCGTGGCTTCGGTGCCGGGGCTTTCTTTTTTCCACAGCATCGGTGCCGGTGCCAGTGCCGGTCTACGCTCGGATTTTGGGCAGTACTAACTACTAACACAGAATTTAGTTCTACAACACGTAAAAATGTTCTCATCAAGTCGTCGTATTTATTTGTTATATCTCTTACATTTAAGACGAAACTGTAATCAAGGCAGGGAAGTCAAATTTTGGATTCATCCAATCCAAACAGAAGGAACATATTATATATACCCTATTTTAAAAGTTGAAGATGGGCTCAAAATAATATTGCAACTACTTCTACATGTACGAGGAGACATTTCATTATTTCACAAGTCAATTTCGAGTTTCAATTTTAACGCGTCCCTTCTACTTCGGGCCGCGCACACACGCACACGGCTAGAATACGTACACAATACACATGCAGTTTTACCGGCCGGCAACGAACGGGAGGAAGCTTGCTGTCCCGGCACCGGTGGGTCATCATTGTGTCAACGCCAGAGCCGGTAAGTAGAAAAATATGCCATATACAGGTTGGACCAAAAGTCCGTTAACTTTTGAATCGGTAGCTGCGTCGGGGAGCGGTAGCGGGGCGGGGCGGCGGGGATACGAAATGAAAGAGCGGCCGATGGGAATTTAAATTTAGTCCCATGGCGTCATTCACCGGAGGACAACGTGCGTTCTGTGTACGCGAATATTCCAAAAATAACGATTCTTTGACAATATCGCAACGAAAATATTGTAATCATTACAATATACGCCATAAAAATGAAGCTCCATCAATTCAGTTGATTAAGAATTGGGTAAAGAAATTCGAAGACAGGTTCAACGTTAAAACAACCAAGATCCGGCCGACCTAGGACATCAAGAGATCCCGAAAATGTGGAACGTGTAAGAGCGTCTGTTCGTGAACAACCGAGACTCTCTACTCGAAAGCGGTCCAGAGTCTTAAATGTGCCCAGAACGTCTTTAAACCGCATTCTTCATAAAGATTTACGTTTTCATCCGTACAAAATCCAAATGGTACAGGCATTAATGCCTCAAGATCACGCTACCAGGCTGCAGTTTGCCAACGAAATGCTAGAGAGGTTTACCAGCTTTACCAACATTTTTTCCTCAGACGGGGCACACTTTCACGTTAACGGGGATGTCAACAGGCAAATTGCAGGTATTGAAGTGACAATAATCCAAAATTGAAGCATCAAAAACCCCTGCATTCACCCAAGGTTACTGTATGGGCAGCTTTGTCTTCAAGAGGCATTATTGGTCCCTACTACCTACTTCTTTGAAGACCGCACTAGGGGACGCACTGTTACAGTGAATACAGAGCGGTATATTATCATGTTACAAAACTTTTTTGCTCCCTCGCTACAAAATTTTGATGGTTTTAATCAACGATCGTGGTTTCAGCAAGACGGGGCAACATGTCACATCTCCAATAACTCATTGAGTGCAGTTCGAGAAATTTTCGGCCAAAAAGTGATATCCAAAAGAGGTGACATTAACTGGCCTCCTCGCAGCCCGGATCTGTCCCCAATGGATTTTTTTCTCTGGGGATACCTTAAGAGGATAGAGTAAGTCAGCTCAAATTCTAATTTCGTCTCCACTTGCCCGCGCGTCGTATGCTATGTACAGACATGTTTGTAATCACTAATACTGTAAGTAGATAGGTCGTTAGACACTTATTTCATTAGGGTTATCATATTTATGCTTGTTTCTTAACGCCAAGCCAGTCGCTTCTCATTTTTATTACGGTTATTTCCCATTTTAATTTTACGTCGTCCTGTTGCGTAATGTATATTCTGATCGTAAGCGACACAACCTCCCCGTTCAAAGGCCGGAGCGAAGTGACGGTGCTGCGGGAACCACGCTTCAAGAGGCCGATAGTTTAGGTAATTTCTTTTTACAGTGAAAATAATGGTATTTTAAAAAAAGTAAATAACATAAGCACTGCTTTATAGTTAGTTCAGTTAGTATGCAAGGTTTCATGATCTTATTTAAAGTATTTTATGAATAACAGCGGTTTATTGTTTATTTTGGAGGTAACTTTGGATTTTTTTTCTATCGAGAAAATTTTACGAAATCGTGTTTTCGTCTAACATAATCCTTAACATTAATCCTCAACTTTATACATATCGAAGGATCTTGCTAAGCCATTTGAGATATTTCCCCTTAAAAGTAAAGTTTTTGAGACCAATCCCGTGTCTGTTGCGGAATTGAAGCAACGTATTCGCGAGGAAATGCAAAACATTTCTCGGAACACTTGTCAGGCCGTCATTGAAAATGTCCGCTCCAGGTTACAGCAATGCCAAAATAATGAAGGAACACATATGGATGATGTAACATAAAAAATAAATTCCCTTTTTATGTGTTTTCATAATTAATAAACGCTTTTCACCTGATGTAATTAGTTTTCATTTTAATTTAGTTTGAAAAGTAAAAAAAAATTATGGCCCATCCTGTATTTCATACATTTTTGCTTCCTCGAAAACCGGGCCGTTGCCGGCGCCGTCACCGTGCTGTACCGGTGAATGGAAAACCGCGCATTCGGTAATGCTTACGGGGATTCATACGCAGACATCCTGATCTTTCAGTAAGGACATCTCAATTTTCGCTGCGAAGGTTAGATGATTAAACCTAGACGCTGTAAAATCACTTTTTGGTCTATATAGAACCATAGTAAAAATCAGATTTAGTATAAACTGACGAAATAAACTTTTAGCCACAAAGACTAATAAGGTTGATGAGACTGGAAAAACGGTAGTCCGAACTTGCAGAATCTATGTGTCCGTTGATATTTGTAAGAATCAGGCGTTACTTTGCGGAAATTCATTATAATAAAGATATTAAAATTTTAAATTTATTTCGCAACCATCCGTTTAATTAAATACAATGATTTGTCTTACCTGGATTGAAGAGCACCTCCCGCCCTCCCTCATTTGCGTGTGTATTTAATTAAGCGGATGGTTGTGAATTAAATTTTAAATTTTAATACCTTGATATCTGATAAATGATAATTTTTCCCAGCCTAGGTGAACGGACTGGCCACGAGAATTGAATCCATTACATTTTTTTACTAGGGAGCCGTTAAAGAAAAAGTTTATTTAAAACCGATTGAAAATGTAGCTAAAGCTACGGCAAAGAAAAACTGAAGCAGATGTTTAATTTGTTAATTTAAAACTTTTCTAAAAATAATGATAATCCTAATTTTAAAGCAAACATTGAGTCAACATTACTATGGCTCGTGGTGATTTTTGAGTACTTAAAAAAAGGATTGCTGTTCACTCACTTCGTCAACTGGTTCCCTCCGTTTCACTCAAACTAGATTCTTAAGTAAAGGCTTGAGGAAAGACTTATTGTACACAAAAATCATTTTAGACAGGTGAGGAAAATCAATTTACAACAGAGTTCCTTTAAAAAAAAATCCATAGTTTAACAAATAATCTTGTAAGTGTTATAACCATTTTGATATCCTTATTAAATGCGCCAACTTTTAAAGTTACTTGCTAAACTCGTGTAGTAATTTTTTTTAGTACAGACATTTAAAACTGGGCAAAGTATAAATTTTGAATACTTGGTTGGGAAAAAAAATAACATTTCCTTCTGGACTGGAGCAGTTGATTCTAAATGTTAAGTAACAATTTTCAGAAACATTATTCAGGATTAATATAATATATATTCAGTAAAAAGAAAATTAAAAAATAAGTTGAAATTTGTAGCACCAGATGTTAAAAGACCTTTCACAGGATGTAAGTTTTCTCGATTTAAGAAAATATATTTTCGTGTTTTCTATTTTGACTTGACCTATCACCCGATTCCGGTTTGACTTTTGGGACAACCTGTATATTACAACATATTTAAGTTCTATCTATTCGAACACGGTGATCAGTTAAATTCTTATGTCAAAGGCGCCCGCTACATCAAGTGAGGCACACGAGTACGCGAGTACTAGCAGATGTGTTTGCAGGGTTTGTTTCTTCAACATTTAAGAGCACCGCTATATCGTGCGGGTTATCTGTTACACGCGGCGCGTGCGACGGCTAAATTACTCCGGTCGGACGGTAAGCCGACACGAACGGAGAGAGATCAGGCGCAGGACCATTCGCTTAACATGCTATCCGAAGCACGGGGTGTACCGCCAACTTCCTGCTACTGACAATTTCTTTACAGAAAAATCCTATTACCGGTTTCTGTTTCGACCCGGGATTCAACCCCAGGACTTTATGTACACTACAGCTTTCACTGTAAGTGCACGACAACGAAACAGTGAATATTATAATACGGTTGAGAAACTGTTTATGACGAGACTTACGCCGTATTCTGCATAGAATACTGAATTGTAGTTTACAAACACGTTCATATGTCTCACATGCCTGGTTAGAAACGCAACTTCAGTGAACGCAAATAAGTGAGATCACAGTCACTTTGTAGCGGCGCTGTCTTCGCGCCACAAGCGAAACACATCGTCGAAGCCTAAATCGCGCTATCAAAGTTCCCAATCAAAAACAGTATATATAGAATAACTCTGAAATTTCAAATGGAGCGTTGGCCGCTCCCCGGGCACAACACCTTGCCCGGCGGGAGATCTCCCCTTTTCCTTCTACGCCAGACCTTTACTGTTCTAGAACCAGAGGTTAATTCTCTAAAACTCACCAAGGTCGCTGGAGTTGACATTGTGGACGATTGCGCAGTCGTAGCCAGCCGACTGCGCGTTGCGGATCTTCGTCTCGAAACTACAGTTGTACCTAAAGGGAACGCACACAGTTTACAATAAATAACAACATTGAACCAAAGAAGGATTGAATAAAGAAATAGAAACAAACCAAGTTGATTAAAAGAGGAGGGTTATTTAGTGATTTTTAATATTGTATCAAAAGGGCGGTAAAATTTAGAAAAGCTCTTGGATATTGTATCACAAGAAGGGCAAAATGTTGTTGAATAATTCTAATAGTGAATAGATATTTCGAACAAGAATGAAGTATGTGTTCTAATGCACTGAAAATAATGACATAGTTTTTATGCATAGGCATTAGTATTCACAAACATAGCGCAGCCGTGATAGCTTAGATGGTTAACGCTCGCTGTAAATATAACAGAACGCGAGTAACCCGGGTTCAATCCCCGCCGGTACCAATGAAACTGTTAATTCCAATTTTAAATGCTCATTTACCACGTGCTCGGCGGTGAAGGAAAACATCGTGATGAAACCTGCATGTCTGAAGAATAAGAAAAAAATATTTTGATGACATGTGAGTTCGCCAACACGCATTGGGGCAGCGCGGCGGACACTTCCTTGCTCTAAAACCCTCTCAGAAATGAGGAGAGGCCTGTGCCCAGCAGTGGGACGTATATAAGCTGTAACTTTATTCACAAAGATTACTTTCTTTACTATAGGAGCCACGCTATTTTTATAAATATAATGTTTTCTTAGTGCATTCGATATGGCAAGCCATTCATTTCATAAATGATACTCAAAAGATGCTTTATTGTGGGCACGTATTTATTGGCAGAAGTGCCACTAAACATTTACGGCAGCATGTGGTATCAACAAGATTATGCTCACACAGTACGAGAATTCCTCAATCGAGACTACCCCGATAGGTTGACTGGGCGCAATGGTACAATTTCGTGACCTGCCCGTTCACCCGACTTAAACTCCATAGATTTCTTTTACTGGGGTACGATAAAGGATAAAGTGTACTCTTAACCTATTCAAGATTTAGACGAGTTGCGCCAAAGAATTGCAGAAGCCGCTGAATGCATCAACTTGAGAAGATAAGCCCATCATTTTTAAAGAGATGTATAGCCTGCATTGCAGCTAAAGGCAAACTGTTAGAACATTTGTTGTAAAACGTTGTAGCGGTGAAGTTTCGGGGATATAACGTCACCCTGTCTTACACCTCTCTACAGGTGTATAGGTATCGTACTCTGGTTCTGTACTCGGATAGCAATCGTAGTCCTACTGTACAAATACTTCAGCACTTTGATATACCGACAGTCAAGTTGGCACCGCTGAAGGGACTGTAGCACCGCCCAAATTTCGACGGAATCAAAGACTTTCTCATAGTCTATATACGCCAGGCAAAGTGGCAGATTTTATTCATCGGTCTTCTATATAATCTACCGCAGGGTATGTATGTGGTCTATGGTACTGAAGCCTTTTCGGAAACGGGCTTGTTCGGGAGGCTATAAGCCTCCGAAGGGAAATCGGTCTGTAGTTCTTCAAGAGAGCGTTGTTGCGTTTCTTGAAGAACAAGACCACTGCACTTCTGCTCCACGCCTCCGGAGTAGTGCCACCATGGAGGACGGAATTAAAGAGCTTCTAGATATAATATGATAGAACCTCTTAATATCACTCAAAATCTCAAGTGCCCCGGAAACGGACAAACGAGAACACAGTCCACCTCATGGTAAATGGATGCTGAGGCCCATAGGCATCTACATTTATGCTCGTTTAAGGTTTGAAATACAGATATGTTATCACCCTCGAGGACTAAGATGGAATGCCTCATTCCCAGTAAAAAGGGTCTCCGGTTCTCTACACTCACCATACGAAACACAGCAGCATTAAGCTACTATTTAACGTTGGTATCCTGTGAGAGCGTGGTGCTTCCCCGGTCGAGCCGACCCATTCATGCTACAACTATAAGATATTTGCAGCGTGGCTCTACTATGTCAAAAAACGTACCTGGCGATCAGCACTATCCACTTGCCGGTGAAGTTGTCGGTGGCGGGGGGGCGGAGCGAGCGCGGTACAGCCATCCGGCGGCACGGCGGCCGCGAGCAGTCCGCGCAGCCCGTCCGGCGGCAGCTCGTTGCCGAAGTTCGCCGGCATATCGCGGAATTCATCCTCGATCTGCGTAAAGGTCATCATTCATTACCTTTGCAACTCTTCACAGGTCCACTGATGAATATAGGCTTCCCTCGCAAGTGGGATTGGAACGCTTGGCAGGTAAGTTGACATTCGCAGTTTTTTTTGTTGCTATTAGAAAGACGTTGCTGTCCATCTTGTAGTTTGTTTCCGTTCGTCGCTCTTACGACACCCACGGGACGATATACGGTAGTGGATCTTACCCCGCCACTACATGGTAAAATTTCATCATCATCATTATTGTTTTTCTTTCAATTTTTATTCTATTTCACTTCCACACTACGAATTTCTCCTGTATCGTGGGGGCAGTTTACATACATGAACTTCTCCAGGAGAAACATGCAGACCCGGAGTAATTATTCGTAAGCCATACAAATACTTGTTCTGTTCGTGATTCGAACCCACGGCCCTTAGCTTTGCTATTCATTGCACAGCTAATGCGCCACGGAGCCGTCTTCAAGTCATCGTTACAGCCCTTCACTAGTCTACAGCTGAAAGTAGGCCTCCCCCAAAGAATGCGACAAAGCACAGTCCTGAACAAACTGCATCCATTGATTTCCTGCATGCCTTAACGATCGTCACTCTAGATAGTGGGGGCGAGAGGAGGTATAGGAGGTATTTTGCATATCGGTACGAGGCATGTCGGTTCGTCGAGTTGTATGGTCGGCCCATTGCCATTTCAGCGTATTAATCCGTAGGGCTATGTCGTATGTAGGGTGAGCGACCTTGAGCTTCCTCATACGGCCAGCAGTGAAGGGCGTACTTAAAGTTACAGCCTATATAAATCCCAACGCTGGTCATTCACATAAAAAAAGCGACAGTAGCCTATGGCAGGGCGCGGATCGCACACTCGAAAGGTCGTGGGTTCGAATCCACCATTCGACTACTGTCGTGAACCACTCCTAACACAAGCATTTTCAGCTTACCAGGGGGGGTTAAAGGGAATATTAGTAATGTTAATTAATAGGATTACTAATTTTTTTTTAAAAAATATAAGAAATATAAGAATTCACGCAGGTTTCCTTTTTTTCTGGTGACAAACGAGCACATAGTTTACCTGATGGTAATTGGCTGCTGTTGCCCACAGATATCTAAATCTATCCTCGGTGAAGTATTAAAGTGTACATACATAACCCTGAGGACAAAGATGGAATAATTCCTTTCCAGTAAAAAGGAAGTGCGATTCAATACACTCCCCATACGAAACACCGCAGCATTTGTGATTTCACGCTGGTATTCTGTGAGAGCGTGGTCCTTCCCCGGTCGAGCCGACCCGAGCTGTAGCGTGGCTCCACCACGGAGAATCCTCGACGGTAATGCAGTACTTACTAAGCGATTGGGTCTCTTTTCTGCTTTGGGAGTCAGTCCGTACAGGGTCCACCTCTATGAGGGTAAATGGCAGTGCTTGTACAGCTGTGTGTAAGTTTCAAGGGAGGCAAAAGAAGAAAGGCAGTATAATTCAAAGATGAAAACGCATTTTTAACCTTTTTTGTTTAAAGTTTGTCCGACATCATATTATCATCATCATTTCAGCCTATCAAAACTCCACTATACTTACTAAAACTGCGGTTGATAACCCGTCTACCAAGTCTTTTTCTTTTTTATAGAATAAGGGTGTCAAACGAGCATACATTCCACCTGATGGTAACTAAAAAGCAGTGGCCCGTAGATATCTACACTTATCCTAGATTAAGAATCAAAACGCAATGCATTGTCACCCCTAAGATAGAATGCCCCGTTTCCAGTAAAAAAGGGTCGCCGGTTCTCTACACTCACCATACGAAACACAGTAGTATTAAGCTGCTATTCTGTGAGAGCGTGGTCCCTCCCCGATCGGGCCGATCCATTCATGCTACAACCATAATATAGCTGCAGCGTGGCTCTACCACATACCAAAGCGTGTCAACTATGGCAAATATTCCCCTTATGATGCCAATTGTGGGAAAGCCTTTGTTCAGAATTGAACTTTGATAGTCTGCAAAGAATGCACAAATTAATAAAAGCATCCTACCTACATACCTATTAGCCTGCGCCCTGAGCATATAATATTACACACAGGTCTTAAGCACGATAAATCATAATTTATAATCTTAGTTTAATCACATAATTATTCCAAGTTTAAAATATATAAATAAGAAAGAAATACTAACAAAATGCTGCATGCCCACTATATGTAGAACCTTAACGGCATTTATTAAAAGATGCCGTGCCATTGTAACCAGTTAATTAGCAATAGAACTAAGATTTATTTGAACACCTTAGTACACGGTAATTTTGGGGAAACCCCGTGCGTTTTGTTACATTCTATATTTTCGAAGCGCTTTAGTTTTCAACCAACACCACTTTTGCTTATCTCAGAGCCTCTTGCATCGTTCATGTATTAAAAAAAGATGCTTCACGCGACAACCTTAATATACATTTTATTTTAACAAACTTGCTGGTACGAAAATGAGAACCACATCACAATGGTTACAGTCAAATAGATTATTGATAACTTATCATTATTATACATAGTCTATACGCGATTTATTATTGGTTACACAACTCAACTATTTTCCGTGATCGTGCGGTGGCGGCATAGAATGGGCGGCGTAAATAACACGACGTATATTTAAATAATACTAGTTTTTACGGATTTTATCGCTTATATTAACTTTTATTTATATACCCGAAGTTTCGATCACTTTACAGCACCCATGGTCACGGGGGGGGATGAGATGTTCAACGTCCAGATATCATAATTAAGGTGATACCTCGAAAATTTGGTGGTTTTTCTATTTCACATTTTTTTTAATATTTATAGATTATAAACCACAATTTTGGTATATGATTTTTGACTATAATATGGTCTTGGAATGCATAAAAGGAAAACACGATTTCATGAAATTTTCTCGATAGAAAAAAATTGCAAAGTAGGCTCTAATTAGTTACATTTTTCCGTGACACCACAATATTTTTACGAATAAGTTCGTGGAATAATTTTTAGGGCAAAGTAAATAATCATATCTAAGTTCTCAAAAACCATTTTTTAATCTATGTAGTTTTGTTAAAAAAATAAAAACGGTGTTTGGCGCTTCCTTAGTTTTTTCCGAGCGTGTGCTCGGTATAGCTATCTCATGATTTGCGTATTAAAAAGTCATTGCATCACTTTCATTTTGACACTACCTCGGTCGTCCGTGAGCTTTACCGACAAAGGAATAAGCCACGCCCCCAAAACTACGATTCATTTTCAAGGTATACTCTTAACCGCGGTTACCCGATTAGAATTATTAACCCTACCACATATTATTACCTGCGGTTACATATTGTGACTGCCTTGTTGATCTAATGTGGTCTAGTGGTCGTAAGCGTGGGTCATACGCGGGTCGTAAAACGGGGTTTATTCGCGGATCATGTCAAAAATATTAGTCACCATTAGTCTTTTTTCTGTCAAAAAATTCTCAGCAGCAACCCGGAGCAGGAAGTTGGCGGTGTTACGCTCGATCTCACTCCGGTCGTATGGAATTGCCGTCTCATCGGACTATGATAAAGAGAAAGTAGAGAGGGCACCTGCCCGCGCGCACACACTGGTGCACTATAATCTTGTCCTACGCAATTGCTTACTCTGCGTTGAGACTGGCCGCCATGACCGAAATTCGGTCTGCAAAACATTATTATAAATATAATCACTGTCATATTTCTCTGTACATACACCAAATATTTTGTATATACATGACTGGCCTTCATAACTTTATATATTACAGACGTATTTTCAATATACGAAGTACTTAGACAAGCCAAAATACAGATGGAAACAACCAAATAGATCAGTAAGTACTTGCCGTTTGTATTGTGCAAGTCATTGAGGCAGCCGACCGCAACACGTGTAAACATACTTATCGCAGAGTACCACTTCACAGTGGATATAATTTAGAAAACAGAAAACACTTCTAGAAACGCAATTCTAAATTCCTTTTATATGAAACTTCTTATTATAGCAAGGTAACCGGATAGCAATTGGGATTGACGGTAAATTAACGCCGTGTGTTAGACGCACAATTGATAGGTAAGCCATTGCGTCCCGTGAGTGTAAAAAGCGTTAACATAGATTGGCCCAGAATATTGTGATTTACCAGCTATAATCAACGACCAGGAAAAAGGAAGTACAGTCCAATTAGTAAGTAGCTATTGCATGGACATTACAACTAACTTCAATACAAAGAAGGCTAAAGTTGCTATCACCTATAAGGACTTTATTGGAATGTCTCACAGCCTATTAAGGGCCTATAGCCTATACTACCGCAAATGGCTTAAGCAAGATCCTCAGTTATGCCGAAAATATTGCAGCATAAATTTTGAAATAAATATATTGTAGAGTTAAAGATTAATGTTAAGTACTATGTTAGACGAAAACACGATTTCGTAAAATTTCCTCAATAGAAAAAAAATCCAAAGTTACCCCCAAACCGAACAATAAATCACTGGTATTCACAAAATACTTTAAATTAGATCATGAAATTTTGCATACTAACTGAACTAACTATAAAGCAAGACTTATGTTTTTTTTTAATTACCATTATTTTCACTGTAAAAAGAAATTAACTTAACTATCGTAGCGTCCTGAATCTTCTTCCCTGCCGCCCGATACTCCAGCTCAATCTCGCTTTGGCTTTCGACCGGAAAAGCTGTGTCGCTTACGATCAGAATACACATTACGTAACAGAACGACGTAAAATTACAATTGGAAATAACCGTAATAAAAATAAGAAGCGACTAGGTGGGCGTAAAGAAACAGGCATAAATATGATAAACCTAATGAAATAAGTATCTAATGACCTATCTACTTACTGTATTAGTGATTGAAAACATGTCGGTAGATAGCATACGACGCGCGGGCAAGTGGCTGCGAATTAGAATTTGAGCTGAGGTAGTGTAGGCCCTTAATATACTAATTCTATACACTTCAGACCGGAAGAAAGCAGTGAAGGCACTACCATTTGTTGTCA